ACCGGGCATTTCGGAGCATTTCCCGGAGCATTTGCGGGTACAGTCCATGCCGCACTATTAGTTAATGGCTTTCCATTTGATTGACGTAGCCAATATTCCTTTTGTCATGTGGGTTTTCCCTCTGCCCCCGTCTTTGTTTTCCATGTACCTCTTTTCTTGTGTTTCTTTTTTTTGCCAATGTTTAGGTAACAAATCCCATTTCGTGACTGTCAAAGGCCCAAGCACTTTTGTTTACTTAGGTTCCCAGACCTTTGCAATGGCATATATATGTATATGTATGTAGCTACTCCCACAGAACATTTCGCACTGCACAAATCATGTTCATTACCCCCAGCACATTCGCTCTGTCAGTTAATTTCAATTTCGAACATGATACGCCCCAAAAAGGATAACTCGTGTGACAAAAAACAATTAAGTCTCCGGGGTGACACGAAACGTGAATGTCCCGTTTGCATAGAAAACAGGCGGCGAAGCGAGCGGAACTGAATCGAAAGCCGAATATCCAAGAACCCAAGTAATGCTCGCCCACAGTTCCCATATTAGCGAGTACAGGGAAAATTCGATATAGTGAATATCATTTATAGAAATCTGGGTTGTTAATATTAAGTAACACAATATAGTGTCTTTGTAGAGAGTAGTTCTTGGTCAAGAAATATTGATAGGCATGTTAATTGTATCATATCTATCATAATTGTATCATATCTCCATATTTATAGAACTTGTATTCCATGAATTAAATGCATATCTTATTTATCGAAAATATCGATAATTTATGTAAAACTCGATATATCAAAGAGCTAGGTACTTTACCAATGAATGCATTGTTATCTATAAAGAAAGGCTTCTATCAATCTTAAAGGTTCTTAATATAATATTCTTTAAGCCGAAAAGACACATGAAATTATATAATTAATTTCATAATTGTTATTCCAATAATTTGATATATAAAGTATCTTTTTCGACACTTTAGTTAAAATTAATTTCCCATCCAATTTAGATGCAATACCTTAGTTCCCTGTTAGAGTGCTTACTGTACTACCATATACTACCTGCACCATGAACGGTGAAAGCGTGAAAATGAAATGAAAAATCACGGGACAGTGGTGGCTGTGACTGGGACAGGGGAGGGGGTGGGATAGGGAGAAGGCCAAAAAAGGGGGTGGATCGGGAGCACGAGGCTGGCGACGAGCGGGTCGCCCAGGCATGCACAATTGGGCGTTGTAATTGAATTAGTCACACCCACAGATTGCACACATGAATGACTTGCCGAAGACAAAAAGACACGGGAGTCCTAAGGGGGGAGGGACAATGATGGTGACGGCAACGGAGGCTAAAAGCACGAAAAAACTGCGATTTATTTATTAAACTAGGTTACCAGGCAACGGGACAGAATGGTGGGGTGTGTGTGTGTATATGATATGGAATGGGTTTTCCCAAGGCTGGGCGGGCGAAACGATTTCCGAAATGCATTTAAGCAACGCTTAAGCCAGATTACACAAAAGGATCTGCAACTCTAAGATGTGCATGGCAACACACACTCGCACACACACTTTGGTCGATTTAATGTGGTCTCCCATGTTGAATTTATGTTCATCCATTATTCAGCTACAGCTTTCGTTTGTGCCTTAAAGTTGATATTTAATGGAGGAGTTGATAAAATGTAATCATAATGTATTTAAGTAGGAATAAACATATATTAATGCATTAGGTTATAGAAATAACTATTGAGAAATAACTTTAACTAATTAAACTAACAAATATTCCTAAGAATTATTGATCAAAGTCGAGTTGTTTCTAAATTCCGGTTATTTAATACTCTGAAAATAGAGCTCTGATTTAGTCTTACTTTGCAAAGAACCAAAGATTGTTATTTTTAATTCTTTAAGGGCCGTGGAATAGTAATCCTTCAGGTTACGTTTTTTTCAACCGAGTCCTTTGTGAGAGAAATTACTATTGGAAAATAACTTTAATAATTTAACTAACAAATATTCCTGACAAATATGTCTTATTGTTTATAAATTCTGCTTGAAAATAGAGCTCTGATGTATACTTAACACAGAATCCCATTCTCTCCATTTATATTTCCAGCTTTTAAGATTCTTATTTTTAATTCTTTAAAGATTGTGGAATATTTATCCTTTGGGTACTTATTTCAACCGAGTCCTTTAGCAGAGTCCTGGTTAAAGTGTGCCCTGTGCGGGTTAGTTCGCCGTCTCAAGGAGCCGCTGAGCCGTCGCTCAAGTATTTGCCAACATGTGCAAACACAGCGAGGCCAATTTGCATTATAATCGCCGTCTTGACCTTGCCACACTCACACATACATATAGTGACACAGTGCGACTCTCTGTGGCACACAGATACTCTCTACACACTCACACACCCTTGACTAACATGGCAGCCCGTTTTTCTACTACGCTTTCTCGAGCACTTTTTTCAGCGCCGCCTGAAAGTATGCTTTGAGATCGCGCGCTGCTCGTAATTAAACATGTAACCAAGGCGCACCCCAGCACTACATTAAGGTTATTTATCGTCGAGTGTCGAGTGTGCGTGTGTGTGTGTGTATGTGTGTGTGCCCCCATTCTTACACCCCCCTCTTATCCCCGCTATGGTTTCACATTTTCCTATTTTGCTATTTAAAATGATAAAATGCATGTTGACCTCAACGGAGAACAGCACTCAGGAGTGTTGCAAAATAGAGGCAAGCGAGTGAGTGAGAGGACTCTGTAATAAAATCCAAAAATGTGTTGCCACAAAAATGTTATTTCCTGCATAAACACCGAGTGGGTGAGCTCAGGTATCCACATCCATGAGCAAAAGCTGGCTGGATAACACGACAGTCTGCTCTCCGCTCTCTTATATCTCGGTCTGAAGTTACTCATGCGGTTTTTACTGGTAATTAAATTAAATTTATTTAAGTTGAGTTAGCTTACGCTCGTGGCACTCGAAAGTGGATGTTAGAACCTTCCGCTCCCTCGTGTCCTCCTTTCCTCCATGGGTTTCGGTGGTTTCTTGCAACAATGTTGCGGTGTGGCAGCCACAGCATCCAGCCAGCTTGGCACACTCCATACTCCACACCCCAAACTCTGCTCTCAGGTGTCCATCCACTTGACGCCGCTGCTTTAAAGTGACAATTTAGATGCCTTAAAGTGTGTAATCGGAGCTGATAAAAGCTTTTTTTGGCCATTCGGACCCAGGGCCACAAAATGCCGTCAGTCGGGTGGCGGAAACGGAAATGGGAATGGATATGGCTTATCATGGAGAACTGTTTATAGGAAAGTGAAAGATTTAGTGAGTTCTAAAACTAGATATATAGTAAAGAATACAAGACCATTCGTATATAGTTTTCAGAACCTTTTTCGACTGACGCTACCCCCTAAAAGTCCAAACTAAAAAACAAATTAAGAGAAACTAACAAGCTGGAACCGCCCGGAAAAAACTAGTAAGGTCAAGGGTTAGCTGAAAAAACGGGAAAATGCGATCAAGAGGAAGGGAAAACCCAATTGAAAATCTGGCTATTGCGGTTGTTATACTCATATTATGCTTTTTTTTTATTGCACAATTCACGCTATTTGCCATTTCTGGGCCCAGTTGTTTGGCTGCCAACTTTATTTATAGGTCATTCATGATTCAGGGAACCGGCGGCACCGCAGCGGCAACAGCAGCAGCAGCAGCAACAACAATGGCTTATGCCAAGTATGCGCCCAATATATTTATTTTATTTTTTTTATTTTTCACAATTTCCAATTGCAGCCGCTGTGCTGGCCATTTTGTATTTGTTCCATCGCTGGAAATGCTTTGAAAGTATTTACAAACGTTTTCCAAGTTTTTCCCCCTTTATTTTTTTTACCTCGTGGCACTACAGACACGAGTTCCCTACAAATAAAAAAAGAGTGCAGGAAATGCACAGCTGCAAGAGGAAAACTGAATTATTGCATTTGGTGTATACTCTTCATATTTAAAACTTTAAATTTATTTAAAAAATTTAAAAAGTATTTACAAGGGTACGTTTTTGAGCTAATATTTATTTGATAAGGGATTTAAAGTATGAAAAGAGACAGAATAAGACGATTATATTGTTCTTAATCTTTGATATTCAAGGATGTTCTCCACGGAAAACTAAGGTTTTAGGTCATCGATAGAATATACATATTTTTCTCACATCTAAAATTTATGTAAACTTTACATTTCGGTAAGAATTGTCAAGCTAAAGTAGGATGTGCCTAAGCCAAGCCTTAACCAAGCTTAAAATAATTTTGTAATAGGAAGAAAACTATTGAACATTTGTATATAAGTTACCATATAATATAGGAATCCTAAAAGACTCTGTAATCGATATCAACAGAGCTAAAACCTAGTCGAAAATGCTCTGATACCGCTGACTGGCAGTGGCTTAGCACCGGGCCAAAATAGTGTTGGCACTGCCAAAAGCATTTCAATTTCAATTTCTCCGTTGAAACCTTGCCACTGTGTTGCGGCTGCTGCTGCTGCTGCAGTTGCTGCTGCAACCCGAAATCGTGCCGTTAATCGCTTTAAATATGCGACAGGTTGCTGCCAGCTCGGTGGCGTCTCCACCGCTCGTGTTTTCTGCTGCATTTTGGTGGCTGTGAGCGAAGGATTTCATAACCCGACGATTGTCCCGCCGATTATGCAATTCGGCCAAAACAGTTGGGCCGAATTCAGGAAGTCATTTGCCAGTCGCATTACAGCCTTTGTACAAATAAATGTTTATTTAAATTAGGAGCCCGACTAAATAAACACAAAGAGCAAAAATAAACGGTAGCGTTTCTCGTTTGATTTTCACTTTCTATTTGCGATTGGGATTTGATTTGTTTTGTCCCATTGTTATTGCCTCTGTTATTTTATGCAAATTTTTGGTTGGTTTGGGTCAGTGCGCAAAATAAGACAGATATTTTCGAGGATCTCTCTTAGCTTTATTTTCATTTTTCTAGAGTTTAAATAAAAATAGATAATATCTCAGTATTGATTGGAATTGAGGCCACCCTTTTACTAGAATTTTATTCTTTATATAGACTTAACAAAGTTTGCTTATGATTTTCCGATCAATGACAAAATTAGAAAGGTATTATTTTATAAATAATAGCACTGGAAATTTAGGATCCAAGCTTTTATTAGAAATCCAATTCTTCATCCAGATCTTGGACATATAGACATGGGAAGTATACGAAGGAAAATACCAATACTGGAAAAAAAAAGGAGTTGGCTTAGGAACAGAAACATATCAAACCTATATATGTATGAATATATTTAGCTTACGTAAGAAACAACAAAAGACAACGATACGCAATATATTTCTCCAGATTCCAACCAGTACAAACGGTCGTACGATTATTCCTATTTTAATGATTATAATTGCGAATCCACAGATTATAGCCACTGCTATCCAGATCTTGAGTAAAACGCGTTTGGTTCTCAGGTAAGAATCTGAGAGACATGTCCCAATAATTAGGAACATTCCCGCAAACAGAATCGGGAACCATGCGAAAATCAAGGCCCATAGCCAATCGTAATGCTCTCCATAATGGACTATAGGAGTGCTTTAGGTCAGAGATATGATGTATAGGTACATTTATCAAACAAGGATTACTTAGCATAATGATTGAGTAGGTAATTTCGATCGCTGCATTCGAGTAGGTGAATATTGCCATTAAATAACAATAACCCCTGCGGTTCAGCTTGAAACACATTTTTAATGATTTTGATTGATTCTATTTACTAAACAACGAAAATAAACTAATAACATGACAGGGAAAGTAATGTAAATAAGATGGAGTTTATTTCTCATAAAAAATAATATATGTTACTTGCCATATTTAAAGTGTTTGGTATTTCCTGGGACACTTTGACCCTATAAAATAAATATAATTGTTTCTGTAAAGGAATTGTTTTCATGTCCCTGCAACAAAAAAAAAAGGAAATCCAATGTGCACATTGAAAATAAAATTTTAATCAAACATATTTGTAATTGAATCAACAGCTTGTGGCTGGTACTGCGATTCGAAGGACAGAAATATTCTGACACTCTCAGTCGTTGAAATGATATTTTTGCGTACACAAAAATGCCAGAATTTTAATTAAATTTTCAAGCAATTAAAACCAACTTCCCGAAGGTTGACAGTGGGCGAACTGGGGGGCGTGACCGTAACACTTTTCCTTCTTTTTCATTTTCCTTTGTTTTTTTTTTAGAGCGACAACAAATGTGCAGAAACTTTTCCCTATAGTGGGTGGCAGTCGAAGTCTGGGCGCAGGCCATTAATTAACTAGAAATGCCATTTTCCACAATTATACGTTCCTCGACTATATAGAAATGTAAAAACTAATTACATTGCAATTTGCCAACGTAATAGTCAGGGCCGGGCCGGGTTTTGCAAACTGCATGCAAAGCGAATTATATGCAGGGGCACCAAGGGGTTAAAGCGGGGCAGCAAACGACTAACAAGTTTCCGCGCTACTTCCTAGGAAATTCGAAATCAATGCAGAGAACGAGGGACACATCCTGCTGCCTCGGAAGTTTGTCAGTCCCTCGTCGTCACCTTTTTTCCCTTTGGCACAGAGCTGGCTGGACTCTAAGGTGTCCTGGTTGGGGCATGTGTAGGTGGGTGTTGTTGGGTATTATATGTTTTATATGTGGCATGCAACGCTATTTGCAGGACAGGTAAACTGAGAACATTGGTTGCAAAACTCAATAATTTTGCTTAGAATTATGTTATTACTCACCAAACGAATTGCGAAAATGGTAATGATATTTTAAAAAATTCTATCTATGAGTATTTCTGTAAATATTGTTAACAGAAAGTGTGAGAATATATCCAAAAATATTTGATATATATTTAAGTTTACTATTTAAATCACATTTGTTTCGATTTCAAAAAGTAAGCTGATTTTTCGTAGGCTTCTTTGAGACTTTCATTGAGGAGAAAATATTTCTCGAAAGCCTCAACGATTTACTCTTTTAAATTGAAACTCAAAGATAAAAGTACTTTAAACTTGTACCATTTATAATACAAAATTTTCACAAAGTAAACTCAATTTACACCCACTAACCAAAAGGGATTGTCGTATCCCGTCTGCTATTGACTTGGCCGATTAACGGGCAATATAATTTGCATGTGGGGCCTGGGCCGTTGTGCTTAGCGGTTACTTAAGCCGGCTTTAATTTGCCCAGAGTCGCCGTACGGCCATTGTTGATATATTAGTTGTTGATACGTATTACGTAATAGTAATAGCAGTTGAATGGGGGCAATGGACACCTTGATTGATGTGGGATTTGCGGCAGTTGCCGTCACAAATGGGGAAGAGGCTCCGTAAAGTGCAATTAAAGTTGTATTTAAGCTTCAATATGTTTAAGAAATATGTAGTAAATGTAAAATGATTATTTTCTAGTTTAAATAAGGTTGTTGTACCACACAAAGGTCAAGTGTGTATTGTAAAGCTTCGGAAAACCTACTTATGATGACTAATGAACTTTAGGCTCCAATCTTTCTCCACCGAAAAATGCCTTAAAGTCCTTAGAATCTTGTTAATAGGCTATCATTACACGATTCCGATCGAATGACGCCGTAATGGAGATGACGGTTCAGTGGTCGAGTTAACCTTTACCAAATTCCGGCTGCCAAACGAGGTGCACTGGGGCCATCATAAGCCAGCTCGTCCGACTGACGGCAGCCGCGAAGAAGTTACGACTACAATTTGCGCTAAACCAAACCAAACCAAACAATTTGTGGCTGCCTCTCTAATGCACTTCACATACAACAGCGAGTCTCCGGCTCCTGGCCAATAATTACGCCAAGAGGAGCGGGCCGCGACGTGAATTATGTGTGCAACTTGTGCGTAAAGTTTGGGGGCAATGCTTAAACTTTAGCGCCGTGCTCAAGGACCAGAGACAGGTTCAGGAGAAGGGTGTTCCGGCGGTGGGGTTTTGGGTATCCGGGGACCGGGAACTGGGAACTGGGAACTGGGAACTGGGATGGCCATGGCCGCTGACAAAGTGGCTGGACTGCCACTTCCCGCCAATGTCATAAAGTTTATCAGAGGAAGCCGCTCCTCGGACTCCTTGCCAGAGCCAGAGCCATTTTTGGTACCCATGTGCACACCGCTCCATTGTGCCGGCTCCTTTCTATACTTTATGGCATATTATTGGCATAAACATGGCGACGTGCAGTTGGTACCGGGCCGGCGGTTTCAGACAAGGAACCTTGCAAGGTGCAAGCTGGAACTTGTGTGATTTATTTGATGTGTCAGACAAAGCGTTCAATTAGCGACTTGAATTGCGAGGCAACAAAAGCCTAGGCAGCAAAAGGGCACCGCAAAAAAATATATTAAAATTTTGAAGATGAGTGGAAAATGTTAAAATGTTAAATCATAATAGCTTTTGAAAATATGAAATAATATGGGTATAATCCTAAGCGTTTTATAAATACCAGCTCTTTTTAAACTCACTTAATTTCTGATAAATCCTAAGCTAAATAGAATATACAAAAGTCTGTGTATTCTCAGAATTCAGAATTAATTTCCCAAAATTTCGTTATGTGTATTGCTTTATCCCCAAACGAAAGCACGGCGAGATTTCCGAGTCCAGTCGAACCTTTTGACCCAGTTGTTGAGCCTTATGTTTCGGCCAATTGGTTGACAGTCGAATTATATAAATTATGGCCAGGCTTCTGATGATGCCCACATAAATAAATATTTTATCTGCGTGTGCTTTTCGGCCGGGTTATTGCGTAGGGTTTGGCCAAAAGGCATTTAGCACAATTTGCGCCACATCGGTGGCCATAACAATGCCTCATCTTTGGACTTGGAGATCCGCAGTCGAAGTCGGATCGAGACGGTCCATAATTGATGATACCGAGTGCTACTAAATTATCAATTGACCATAAATTCGCTCATTACGTTCGGCTCTCCCGTTGGGGGTATTTTCATTCAAGTCTCTTCAGCCTCTAGTTTTTGCGCGTCTGCCAAAACGCTCGGCGTTTGACTTGCAAACGACTTGGTCTCTTGGTCGTCTCATCATCATTTGCCATTGTTGGATGGGATGGTATGGGATTGGATTGGATTGGCTGGGACTCCAGCGGAGTGGTTTGGCCGTGCTTTTAAATAACTTTTTTATAAGCACCCTTCCCCGCACGAGTTATTGGCATTTGGTGGGGTTTGCGATGCGATGCGGCAAATTGTTGTTTACAGCTGTCGAGTGTTGGTATTTCATGGCCCTGTTCGCCGCTGCACCGCTATAATTGCACTTTATGCTCTGGGAGCGAGCTCCATCCAAAAAGTGGGCCGTCTTTCAGCCGGTTGAGTTAGCAGCCGATCATAGTTCGTCCCCAATTTAAGACCATGCTCTAGCAAATAATTCCCGGCTAATTTGGCCCTGTTTGGCATCGTAGCTAAATCATCTAATGTCCGTGATTATGATGTCACATGGAATACGCTTCGCTGGTGGAATTTATTGTCCTTTTGCTTCGATTTCATAGATCCATTATTGTTATTTAATTGAGGAGTTTCAAGATAACAAAAGATCCTAGCAAGTCAAGACTTTTCTGACTTCAAAAAAATACCTGAACACTGTTGATTTTCTGTAAAGATCTCAACAAAAATTTAAGAGAAATGGCATCAGAGGTGAGTCTGAATAAAAGGAAAGAAAGAAAGAAAATGAAATTTTTCTGTAGCAAATCCCACAGGAAAAGCGCACCAAGACATATGTGGAGGAGGTGTTCCGCCAGATTGAGGCCAAGCCCGGTGTGGAGGACATTCTCATAATGAACCACTCTGGGGTGCCAGTAAAGACCTCAATGGATCGCCAGGAGGGTCTGCAATATGCCTGTCTCTATGACAATCTGCGGGAGAAGTGTCAGGCCTTTTTGGCCAAAATGGAACCACCACAGACCCTGACTTTTCTGCGAGTTCGTACCAAATACCATGAGGTTCTCATAACTCCAGATAAAAAGATCACAGTTCTGGTGGTGCAAAGCGTCAAGGATACTTATATTAATATGAAGAAGTAGCTGGAATTATTTACTGAATAAAAGTTCTTTAAAAATAAAGTATTAAATTGAGCATGAGCCACTCGATAGTTTCTATGTAAATAATCAATGAGTCTTCGAATAATCTGTAAGTCTTATAGGTTTTTTGAGTCCTTTTATACACCTTTACTTTTATAATCTATACTTTTCCATGTCACCTTACTCCTTGGATTATTTTAAAGAGATAATCTTATTGCTGTCCTTGAGTTCTTACATATTTTCAAGAACTGAATTGCACTTTAAGAAATACCTAGAAAATTACCATTTTCTTAAAGGAATTTCTTCATTTAATTTTCCATCAAACATGTGTTTCTCTGTCTGCCAAAAAACATCCGCATCCGAGGCACTCCATGACTTGGCTAGAGCTCCGGGATTAACACATCACGTAGCCACAACATTTCACAAGCTCCTCCGCGATCCGATGATCCCCTCCTCCGGTCACATCTCGAGTGGCAGCTGCAAATCAGCGCGAAACCTTTTCGCCTTTCCTTGCGAGGGGCGCTTGTAATATTTAACACTGCCTTGCATTTTAATGCGATTCGGTCTGACAATGGTGTGCGCCTAATGGCCAACTAATATGCGCAGAATCACTTGGCAGCCGAGTCGCGAACTCGAGTTCCATTTGGCTTTGACTGGGACTGGCACTGGACCTGGTCTGAGTCTGAGTCTGAGAGTGGGAGTGGGAGTGGAGACAGATCGTGCAGGTGGTGGAGGAGGGGAATCAGAGTTTGGCAACACCTCGAGCCGGAGGAGTGGGTCTTGATCGCGTCACGACTGGAGAGAGCAAGAGGAGAAGGTGTCAATAACTTTCAAATGCCTGGCCAGGATATGCATTATATTATTATAATGCCACAGTCCGCACCGCTCGTCTCTGGCAAATTTATGCATTTTTGAAGTTTTAATAATGTAGCTCGTTAGCCACGGTTTGTTAAACTTTGTTTTCATTTTCACTTCGCTTCACATCAAGGGATAGGATGGAAAGGAGCGAGGGATGCGGCACTTGGGGCAGCTGCACTCGGTATTTTCACACTTGGAAAATTGAGAAATCACATGTAATAATTTGCATATAATAATTCTAGGATACTACAATAGGTAAAGATGTTTTTGACAAGGAAAATGAGAGTCTTCTAAGTATATCTTCCTAAACCCCAGCTTTCCCTAGAAAAGGGTTCAAAATTGTGATGATTCGTGATACATATTCTCTATTTTCCTAGAAAATTATAGTATAAAATTTACAAGACATTTCTTTAAGTGCACACATCCATGTAGCCACACCATAAACACAATCACAAAATCCCCCATCACGTGTGGCTCACTCAGACTGCAGTTTTTTTTGTTTTCAATATGCGAGTCGTGAATTTGCTCCGGGTCCTTTTCAGGTTTCAGCTGTATCCGTGGCTGTTACTGTCAGCTATTTGTTGCCGTTGGTCATATTGCAGTTGGACCATGGCGCCTTGGCCAACAAACCAGCAAACCAGTCAGCCCGACACCCGTTTGATAAACGAACAAAAGTGAAAACACATTTCGCAGTCGGCGGCTCCTGCTTTGCATAACTCTCAAGGATGTTTGAGGGTCTGCATTCGAATTAGCATTGCGTCACTGGAATGTTGGTATATCGGAGCAAAAGGAATATTTATATATATGTAGATAAAGTTACAAATATTTATTCAAGCATATTCCACCTAGAGTTTACAGGGTTTTTTAAACATAACTAGATTGTCAGACATCGTTGGAATGTTGTAATTTGCAACACTTCTCTTTTTTAATTGAGATTTATTTCCTGACAACCCGATTTACCTATCTCGTTACCTGAGCTCTCCTCCCCCAGCACATGTTTGATTGAGTAATCCAATAAAAAGCTCGAAGGGAGCAGCTATGTATATTTGTACCTAACTTTATAACTGCCCATTAGCTGGAATGGACAAGTCGTGAGCTGGTGTTGAGTACCGGAAAACTAATATACGTTTTCGTAATATAGATGGTCACCAATAAGCATATTTTATATTCAAGAGTTTGAAAAATATCGCAGTCTGGGTATTAAATGTCAATAAGAAGTGTGCTTTAAATTATAGAAAAATGTGCTGGAAATGTGAAGCTGTTATTACGTGTCTCCTGGCAGGACTTTTTGTCATCTTCTTCTCAGTAGGACTTCTTCGATATGGTGAATTTGTTTTTAAAGTAATTTATACCAAATTCACAAGTTATAATTTCCTAGTTTTTGAGGTTAGCACTCTTGATATTCTCCTTCTATCACCTATGGTTCTGGCTTTAGCATTTGAAGTGGCTATAAGTATAATGTGCGATATGGTAAAAAGCAAGTTCAAATTTACTAAATAATTAATTATTAACATACATTTTTAGGAGGACATTTTGATGGGCATTATGGTCATTATCGTGGTTGGATTTCATATTTACAACACAACTGGAACTTTCTCAAAAAGTCCTTGAAAATGCTCATCATTTTTTATACAGTTGCAAAATATACAATTGTTTTTGTACATCAATAGGCAAATTTAATTAGTTTTTGCTTCTATTCAACATTTACTTTCTTTACTAGTTGCAATATAATCCATCAGTTTATATTATATTTGTGGAAGGACGCGGAATCTGAATGAGTTTTCCGCCAGGTAACACAATTATGGCGGAAAACTGTTGATAAAGTTGCAGTTCCATTCATCAGCAAACGTGATTAGCTGAAAATTTGTGGCCGAACTTGTAATGAATGGAAATCATTGGAAAGTTTGCTAATAAGACACATTGTCTAGCCAAAGGACCGAGAGGTGAGCTGCCCAAAATATAAACAGTCTGCTCTCCTTGGAGAGTCCTGCTACCAGCTCGAATCCTTGTTTTCCGCCGTTATTGTTGTCATAAGTTTGGCAACTTGTTCGCTTCCTTGGGCTAACCGAAGCACATTACAACTAATACACTCAGACGATGTACCCGAAACTTTGCCGCGTCTCACAAAGAGCATAATTACCAACAACATGGAGGAAAAAATGCACGAAAATTCCGGCAAAAGGGGCAAAGGGGCCAACTTCAACTTTTCCACAAAATTATTTGTGGTCGCACAGATACAGGGAAACGGAAACAGGCAACGGGGCTGGGACTGGAACTGGGGAGGAAACGAAACTTTGACATAAAGAAAAGTTTGCGCAAACCGACTTAAAGAAAATTATAATTACACGCACAGTCAGCCAAATAGTCCAAGTTTCGGGTTCTGGTTTTCCTCTGGGCGGGCTTCGGGGGGCTGGGTTTCGGTTTCAAGGAGAAAATACTTTAATTGCCGTTAGTTTTCGAAGTTTTCAATTCGCAATTTGTGCGCCAGGACAAATGGCAGACAAACAAGAGAGCAGCAAATTATGGTAAAAACTAAAAATCAACGAAGAAAATACGCAAATTCCTGTGAACCATGAAAATTGGCAAGTATAATTACCACCCTTCTTCTCAGGCTGAGCTTCCCCGGATTGAGTTACCTGCCGGCTTTTGGTTTTTACCAGAGTTTTTCGACTAGTTTCTCGGTCCCCTGATTATTTTTTCCCAGCCCAACTTTATAATTGGTCCTGGCAATTAAATGCTGCAAGTAAATTGGAAAGGGAAAATAATTTGTTTATTTGCTGGCATGGAAATATTCAAAAGGTTTAACCCAGGAAAAGAACTTGAAAATGCCTGAAGCAAGCTTATGATGTAATCAAATTAACTCATACTTTCATAGTTCCCAAAAGCAAATAGAGTTATATAACGCTTACGATTTAAATAAATAGATTTTGTTGAGAATATGTTTCATTTTATACACATTTCGTATGACAGATGTCAAAATCAAAGTAAATTTGTTTCTATTTTATATTTATGGATGGGAAAAAATGTGCAAAAATTGTAGCGATCTTACCATTCGATTGGAGTGCATCATATGGTCCATTGCCGAAATAGTATTCAGTGTGGCCTTTATAGGTTTTATTTGTGGTAACTATTCTAATATATAAAAACTACCTTCAAGTTTTGAGCACTGTGTCTCAAAAGGACGCCATGAGGTTCACAACATTATCCTTTTGGCAGCCTTGAGCCTCGGAATTCTGGCAGGATTTTGCCTCTTGCTGGGTGCTATCCTGGTAAGTTCAGGGGCTGTGGGCTTTCTTGTGTAAGTAAGTTAAGGCCTGCAGTATCCAGTTTCCAGAGAAAGCGCTTTCTAGTGCTGACCTGGATAGTGCTGATATGTCCAACGATTGTCATAGTTATCAGTATGTCCTGCCTCATACTGAAAGAGAACTGGAACTTTCTTCCTGGGTTCGATAAGGCGCGGAAGATAATTGCGTTGATCATAATCGTGTGTAAGCCAGTTGGAGGATCTATGAAAATCCATTGAAATCTGATATATGCTTCCCCAGGTTGGATCATATACATGGTATATTTATCATGTCTATTTATTCGCGAAATCAAGACGGGAGAAAGGCAGAAGCGTTATCCGGACTGTGTTGGGGGACATTATCCCCGAGGAGCGCTCCGCGAAAGGACAAGATCTAATTTACAAGACAATTCAGCAATTGCAGTGAAATTATGATAATAAAAACTTTAAAACCTGCCGTTGGTTTATTTAACTTTATTTCTTGAAGTTAAATTTAAATCTTTTCTTCTAATGGAATGAACTTTTTGCATTCACATACTTTAAAGTAAGTTTTTAAAGAAACTCCCTGCACAAGTGCAATTTAATTTTTTAAATTTAACCCCCAATCGCCTTGGACTTCCATTTTAATTTGCACATAGACCCTTAGCCCTATCCCTTGGAACGTGCCGACCCCTGGTCACTTTGTCCATCCGGCATTTTCATTTATTTAATGCATGCACAATTTCCTAGACACTTTTGGGGGGCAACTTTTGATTTCCCGGCCGTATCGCTGGTCCCGGGGTCTTAATGTGGCAAACGGGCTCTGTGCACAAAGCCAGCTGGCCGGGCTTTAAGGGCGACAAAGGAAATAAATATGGACGGTCTGCGGTGGTAGACGAAAATAAAAACAGTCTAACAAAGGGATTTTCGCGCTTTTTTCCCTCAGTCAACTGAGGCCCCGGGGTTGGCTTGGCTTTTCGGTTAAGATTGCACTTTTCCGGCTGCTTGCCTTCATTAAAGTTACGTTTTTCAATTCTGCGAAAATACTTTAGAGGAGGGAATTGTACAAGAAATCGGAGAAAACTACAATTCATAGTTTAAAAATTGATTAAATCTTGAAGAATTTACCGAGATAAGCGCCCTTTGAATTTTCTGTTACACATTGTCACGTTACACATATATTTCTATATTCATTGCCCTGAAAGATATCTTTTTGAATATATATTTCAGTCTCGTTACACAATATTTTGTTAAGTAAATATTGATATTCGATCTAAATCTTTCATTATTTCATTTGAACCACAACAAATCCTTATAAATATGGCTGAATATTGCCTTGTTTGAGGGACATGAAAGGATAGAAATCAGTAATTATAGAATCTTGTTTGAAATACGACTATGCTTGAGTTTTCTTTCATATCTCGTAGAAAATAAGTAAAAATTTAAACAAATAAATTTCTAGAGTTAACCATGTGTATTTGCCTGCGTCTTTCTAATCGAATTCACTGCGTCTTAAATGGCATCTCCATAATAATAATATGTTGTGTTCCTTTGAGCTTTATCATTTTACGTAAATATTTTCGTACTTTAAGTGCTATCCAAAGTCTCTCAACTTGTCTCTTGTCACAGGAGGAACTTATGGAGCTAACCAATGTATGCTCCTTGCGGGTCTGATTATTACAATTATAGGCGCTTTGATTCTGATATTTGGTGCTGTGATAGTAAGTTATAAAGTTGTGAAGTCTAGGAGAAGTTTTTGATCTTACAATACCTGTTTTCCAGAAAATGCGAATCCCAGTGTTCATCTGGATCGTGTTGAGTTTACCGGCGACATTAATAGTGGTTACTGGATTAAGTCTCATATTGCGTGATTTTTGGGACGATCACACGCTATTTTCGAATTCATTAGATATTATATTCGAAGTCTTATATATATGTAAGCTATTCCCAGCATTTTAGGAGTACTCTAACATTTCTTTCATCAGGTATGATCCTGGAGTCGGTCTGTTCCGCACTTCGATTTCTTCGGGAACTCAAACGAGAAGATGCTTAGCGCCTGGTTTTGGTTTGAGAAGAATAAAAGTCGGAAAAAGACTATGACTTATTCCTGAGGGTTACCTATTAATTTGGCAAAAAAGTCAATGAAATATGTATGTAAATGACATAGATATACAATATCTACTATGTGAGTTTTATTTATTAGTTGTTGATTTATCAAGAATAAAGATACATTCATTTTAAACTTTAAAATTACTTCAAGTTCATTTTCCTAATGATAATTGTATATATTCTCTCATTTCGTATAAGTTGTAACGATCTTATTTGGCAGCTTAAAAGCCCCATAAGTAAAGAGTTCTTTTTTGTGCCTGTAACAAAGACAGAAACTAATTTATTTGAAGTCTGTAAGTCTGTAATTAATATGTGGAGTAGGTTCCATCCCGTTCCGTCATTGCATTTCGAATGATTGATAAAGCAAATTGTCCCTGGCATCGGATATGAGTTTTCGACAGAGTCGGCCAGAGCACAGCCCACTCCCCTTTGATTTCAGAGTCTGGCAGCGAAATCAATGACAAAAATATGAAATGAAAATATAATTGGTAATTTATTGTGTCTACAGATCGTTGCTGCAAAATGCGAGCAGGCCAAGTAAAATAATAAATGCACATATACTGGATATGCATTCCCAGTGCCGTTGTGTTTACAGGCGAAGGAGGAGGGATGCCTCCTCCGACTTCTCCGTTTCTGGCCAACAAAAAAGGGGTGCGGGTGGATACCCGTTGGCCTAGGCCCCCAACTGCAGTGCTCCAGCGTACTCCAGGCCACGAAATCCACTCGAGTGCGCACCAATAAAAATAATAAAATAAAAATTTTCGCCATAATAAAAAGCGCAGCGCACAAAGAGCACAAAAAAAAAAACTCCCGAGCCGCCCAAATAAATCACGCAACTTTGCAGACAAGAGCGATCCCCCAAGAGGAGGCTGACTGACTGCACAGAGAAAAATATTTGTGAAAATAGGATTGTAATGAAATACTAGTAAAATAATCAACAGATTTTGGGGATTTCTCTTGGTGTAGTTGTGTAAATGCAAAGCCATTTGGTGTTTCAGCTAAAGAGGAGCTAGAAATGAATTGGACACAGGATTGGCAAAGGATTCTTTACTTTGAGCCAATAAAAGGACCAAGAAGAAGCTAAAATTATTAGAACAATTTATATTAAATAGTTGCTGAATGAAGTATTTACAAAAGAGAATTGAAACAAAAAATTTAAAAATATATGCAAAGGTATCCGTACTCCGGCAAGTAAACTCTTTCAATTCAAAACTATTTATCAAATTATATCCAACGTTTTGGCATTATAAACCTTATAATTTATGCTCAACAAAAGCCATGATCAGTTATGGAACATTTAAGATCAAACACAGTCTCAACAATAGTTTGTCATAGTTTTCCCGTCTCGATAACGAACTCAACAATACATTTGCCAGCGGACTGAGCTTTGATTTCTATAAATCAACGGTCGCTACGCAAACTGTCAGGGCAATGGGGAAAACTTTTCATTTTCCGTTGACTGAATGAAAAGCCTGCAAATGCTTCGGCGGCGGCGGCTTTTATTCGCTAGGCAATGGGTGATAAATCAAAGACCAGATCGCCAAGCAGATCAAACGAAAGGCATCCCAGGTATTTTTAGGGGGCACAGATGTACACACACTCACTCACTCAAATACACACATAATATTGTCAAACTAACGAACCGAGCAATGTTCGTTCATTAGCGCCATTAAACCAGTTTTGACATTTTAATTAAGAGTGTGCAACACTGCGTATGCGCATTCTGCATTCAACCAAGGTCAGGATCATAGATCATAGGCGAGCGCTTATCGCCCGTCTACAAGGAGCTGCAACATCGCGCCCAGCTATCGGGGGCCCAGTTATCGCCATCGCAGCATCTCTGCATTCTGCAGCATGTCCTGCCGCAAGCACAAGCGACAAGGCCAAGAAATTTGCATTTACCAGACTGTCGCCCACTTAATTACGCAGCAACGCAACAGTCGCCAGTAGTTGCAGTTGCAACTGATGTTGCTGTTGCTGCTGCTGCTGATGTTGCAGTTACAGTTGCAGCGTATTGCTAACTAACTACCATGGTTCACCCAACAAAGATTCATGTTAACTATTTCTAATGTCTCAAGACATTTCTGCTTTTTAAAAGCTTACTATGCCCTATGTAATATTATTGGTATTTCTTTTTTAAAGTTTGAACTATCTAAATGCATATAAGCTATTATTCTTCGACTTCTTTGTGAGGTGTACATGTATCTAGAAATATTTCGCAACAAATTATTCAACACTTTGCATGCACACCAAATGGCGGCAACTTGGCGATGAACATGGACAACATGAGACGCTGGCAGCGACCCTCGGCCCCACCGATTCTGGAATCCGAATCGGATTGGATCGGATCGGATGGGATGGGATCGCTAGGTCCCACATCCCAGATCTTCGATCCCAGTCCCTTTTGGGTCCCCTGTCAGCATCTTGTCTCCGATCCGCATTTGCTGTTTGTCATTCGCCTTCGGCTGCGGCTTGTTAAGTGCTGCTGGAATTTGCCATATTGCCACATTGCCACATGGCCATAGTTGCATCCAACGGATGACAGAAGCTGGAGATGGAGTGAGATCTGGAACTGGTATCGGGGCGAACGTAAATCATGCCAATTTGAATGAGTGCAACCTGCGTTTTGACACTTGTCACTGTCGCAGTCCCCTAAATGTGGCCTCCGTTTGATTGCCACTCCGTGATCCGCACAGACTGCATGACGTCGTCTGCAACTGCAACAGCAGTCTGCACTGGGAGATATTTTTTAATAAAAAATATGCAAAAACAATTGAGTTAAAAGTTTGTTAGGCATCAAATTAATGAGTTAATTAGATAGCTCTTAATATATTCCTAAAGCATCCTTTGAGTATATCAATGTATGAACAGTATTTTTTCTGAGTGCTACCAACTCCCCATCATTGTCACCGGAAATGTTGCACTTGTCGTCGGGCTGGCGGTTGCATTAATCAGCTTGCATTTATGGCCTGCTGATTGAGTAATGCCCGGGTCTGGGACCACTATCCGTATCTTCATACCGATCCTCATACCGATTCCTATCCCCAACCCGCAACATCTTCACCCACGATCCACGACCATTAAAATGTTATCGCTTATTTATCTGACTGCCAGGAGTGGTCAGAACTTGGCTCTTAGCTTGGCTAATCCCCTTAAGGCAACATTGTTGGCAATATTTCCACAGCTATAAAGTCAGCTTAAGCTCAGAACATGCAGCAAATTCTGCTGGAATTAATAATACAACATTTCTGATATTTGTTGTAAGCTAATATATATATTACTCAAGAGCTTTAATGTAAATAAAAGTTGTCCATAAATCCCAACACCTTTCAGAGCTCAATGCAAATCATTGCAGCTATTACTCCAGTTAGCCACTCGAGACCCCACTCAAGGGAGCTGAATGGGCTATCCACTAGCATCTCCAGATCTCGAGTGGATTGGCCAGTTCCACTGATTGGTGGCCTGCTGAATGCTAAGTTGACGCTTTGATCTTGTCTAGAGCGTAAATCTGGCGATGCGCTTCTGAGATTAAATGCCAAGGAGGATCCTCCATGTTTTGTCTCCAAAGTCTTCGGGGTCTGACTGTGTGGTGGTCACCTGTTCATTAAACGTAGGGGGAAATTATAGTGCACTGAGTGCAGTAAACAAATGTAATCGACATCCTGTGTGCCGGTCTCAAAGGATGCCGCCTGCAATCGATGCAGGATGGAGGAGCGCAGGGCGCCTTCTTGGCTGACAACAAAAGGAGAGAAGAGAGGCAGCGCCGGTCCGTTGAAATGAACTAGAACGCAAAGACAAACAGGAAAAGGCAGTGGAGAACCGCAGTTGAGGATTCGAAAGACATCGCACAAAACAAATAATAAACACAAGAATTTTTGATTTAGCATGAAATTTAAATGACCCGCCGCCGCCCAGGCACCAACACACAAAACATGCGGCAGATGGAAGGAGCTGCAGCTCAAGACTTCACTTTGCGTTTTTATTGTCAGGGCGCGCAAATATTGTCAAAAGGCTTTCGAGCAGAGCCATTCTCATTTCCATTCCCCTCAAACATGCACTGAGAATAACGAATAATTAAGAGGAATATTCGGAATTTTATCTAGACATAAAATAGGAAAACAGAGACCTTGAAATAGATCTGAGCGAACTTAAGTCACAAATTCACATGCAAGCTTGTATATTCAAGGAATCCTAATTGAAGTGACATCTTTGTCATAATTACTTATTAATTTATTGTATATTATTTATTTATAATTTAATATTCAGTATTATTTCTGCTTTATGTTTAAGTACAGTGTACTCTGTCAGACATTCCCATTTGCATCTCTCGATGCAGCTACGGAAGCGCCGGCAAAAAGTAAAAGACGCCGACACAAAACAAAAAGGAAAGATGGGCCCAGGTTGAGGTCTTTGGTCCCATCCCGTCCCGGTCCCGGTTCTCAGTCTCAGTCCCCTATCCTTGCCATGTCCCTGGTGCCTGGTCCTGTTCTGTTTGTCCCGGCGCTTCGAGTGTCCCCTAGACGGTCCAAAGAGCACTTGTTTGGATTTATATTTCGGTTTGCTTAGGTCCGTGAAGCCAGCTAAAGTGCCAGGCAATCAAAAACAAATTATGAGTGCTACAATTTGCCCGGGGAATGCGGATCGAGATGGGTTCGGGAATCCTAGAAGGGAAAACTGGGAGTGGGTATGTCTCTCCTTATCGCCCCTCTTATCAATGTTTATGGTCTCAGCTAATGCACTTGGCGTGCAGTTTGCTACGGCATTGAACTTTCAGCGGAGCGAGGACCAGGCTAAAACAATGGCCCCACTGACCCACTTGGCCGGGGAAGAGGCGGCCTAATCATGGCCTCAAAATCCTATATCAATAATTGACTCGAAAGCAAACAATTTATGATGACCCAGGCCCAAAACAAAGAGCGCAAAAGCGAAAAGGGTGCGGTAATCAAAGGAATTGGCCAACA